CGGTTGTCCATTATTTGCATCTAAATCAGTCAATCTTCACTGATGAGTAGATCTTGCGAACAAACCAGAAACAAGCATAGAAGCCAATAGTCCCCGTCAAGACAAAGAAGGCATATGAAACAATTATCATATACCCAAAGTAAAGGATGCCTGAGACCAGCTTGGTAATCTCCAGTTTGGTAAAGAAGTAAAAAATGGAGTAGAGGAAAAGGTAGAGAGCAGAGGACCCAGAAGTGAGGTAAGATCTCCACCACCAATTGTAGTCTTCACTGCACAGTTGGAAGTAGCAGAGCACGATGGTAATCTCAGCACAAGTGAGCAGCAGGATAACAAACACTATGAAAAGGAAGCCAAAAATGTAATAGAACTGGTTCAACCATATTGATGTCAGAATGAAGAAAAGCTCAATAAACACAGCACCAAATGGTAGAATTCCTCCAATAAGAATAGAGAAGGCGGGTTTCATATACCATGCTAGCTCAGGTACTTGCCTAGGAATTTTATTGGTCTTCACGGGGTCTTCAAGAGCTGGTTTTTTAAAACCCAAGTAACTACCCACAAAGACCAAGGGCACTGATATTCCAAACCATAAGCAGACAAGAGCAAACATTGTTCCAAAAGGCACGGCTCCAGAGGATTGCTCTCCCCAAATTAAAGCATTCAGCACGAAGAAGACTGCAAAAAGAATGCCTGGAAACATGAATGCAGTTTTTAAGGTATTCCGCTTCCACTCTGTGCCCTTGAACATTTTGTACAAACGTGCTGAGGAGTAGCCAGCAAACAAACCCATAAAAACCCACAATAGAACCATGGCAGTCATGAGACCTCCTCGGTTAGAAGGAGACAAGAATCCTAGCAATGCAAATATCATAGTCACAAGTGTCATTCCGAATATCTGAACACCAGTGCCAACATAAACACACAGCAAATTTGAATTGACTGGTGGCCTGAACACATCTCCATGGAGAAGTTTCCATCCTGTTTCTTCCTGGGCCTCATCTTGGGTATCTAGCTGGTTATAATTGGCAATATCTCGGTAAAGTGTCCTCATCATGATCATTGCCACCATTCCAGAAAGGAAAAGAACAATCATCAGAGAGTTAATAATGGAGAACCAGTGGATCTGATCATCATTCATTAGAAGGTATGTGTCCCATCGCGATGCCCATTTGATTTCACTTTCCTAACAAAAATGCCAACAAACATTGCTTACAATATCAGATCAAAGACTGAGGTCGAAGAGGATAAGAGTGACCAAGAACTTGATCAATGATACCTTGAAGGAAACATCATATGTAAATACAATTTCCTTGTTGGCATCAACTTCTTGTGGAACAGTGCTGCCTTGCATCAAATTCTTGGTGTCTTTATTGCATGTAGCAACCTGTGGATTCTTCTCATCCCACTCCTTGTATTCATGATTAATGCTGATTACAATTAAAGGGCTCGTATGAGGAAGAGAGAAAACATGTCTAGTAATTATTTGACATTCATCAAGGCAGCAGCCAAAGACAACATCAATTTAAGGAAGATCTAACTGGACCTAAGGAAACATGCTTGAGAGCACTGTTAAACAAGAACACAATGCATAAAATTATGACACTCAACAGTAATGAGGATGGGAGTATGCAAAAAACCCATTTTTAAGATGTCTATGACAATATCTTATCTTTACACAAAATCAGCATCTCTTGGAAAGTAAGATTATTAGACTTATGCCATTTAATTGTGCTTTCTCTGAAACAACTTTCCTACTCACAAAATGAGGGTGAGATGCTTCAACAATCTTTATCATTATAATTATAAACAATAGTTCAACCATTTTATGCCAGGACAATGAATACAAAACTACCCTAGAGGGTAAAGAACAGCACCTGTTTGGTGTAACCTCAAACCCAACAATACGAGCAGAATCACTGTCTTGATCCTTGTGGTACATGACTCTGAAACTCAAGTGGTTATTGATGAAATATTTCTCCTCCTTGCTCTGTTGTAAAATTAACTCTGTAAGATTTTTAATTAAAGTACGAGATATTTGTACAACATGAATTCATTACATGTCATACCCCTTGATAGTTTCCTTTGAACCCTACACGAAAACCATGTTCATATGTTGTCGATTGACTTCCATCCCTCCTTTGTCTACGAACAGCAACGGGAAGATTATCCAAAATCCTGCATGTCCCTTTAAAGTGGATCAACCAAACCATGAAAATAGACAGCACAGTCCACATTGCCTCATAAAGTAACTTTGCATCATCCAGGGACTAAACAGCAGGAACATCTAGACAACCATGCAACTGGCAAGGATAATTCAAGATCTTAACAAGAAAGAAAAAGAAGAGCTTCCATTCATTCACCACTTACATGTGTACACGATATTCATCATCAATTTTTTCTTTAAAATTTTTTGCAGATTCAGCATCCAACTTTACACGACAAGCTACAGTACAAGACTGCTCCTTTCTCATTTCAAACTGGGGAAAAAAAGAATTCATACTTCAGTTTTACATCACCAAAGAAGAAGCAATAGTAACTAAAACTCAAGGCTTCATTGTCCCTGTAAAATTTTAAAAGGACTAGGTAATATAGATGCCCACCGTATATATTGAATTCTCAATTCGATCACCTCGAAGAACTTCACCCAAATTTTCTGCACTGTTTAAAATCTTGCGGGGTTTGCAATACTTTAAGTAGTAGTAGTCATATGGAAGCTGAGTTTTTGTAGATGATAATTTGTTCACTTTGACTGACAAGGTTTCACCCTGGTCCGATCGTGCAAACAAAAAATTAGTATTCTCTAGTAGATAAAGTATAACTACAAATCAAATGAAAAAAAAAATCGAAATAAATTGTTCAATATTTGCAAATGACAAAAATTTTTTCTTTAAGAACAAGGCACAATTAAACGGTCAGCTGAAGCCATACTAAATGCTATTCAGGTCACAACCCCATAACAATCTGCCCATTGAACTAAACTCCAGTGTTCTGTTTCAAATGCATCATATTAAAAAATAAGCCGGCGGCAGCATTTGTAACAAATGACATAGAACCACAAAAGGTAAACCCATGCTGAAAAAGTTAACCAGATTTCAAACCTGAGGAAAGATGTCACGCAATTCCACTTTTCTTAGCATGTTCACAAACAGATTCTAGAACAATATCCTTCGGGAAAAAAACTCCGTTTTCTTTTCTTTCAAATCATATCAGAACAACCAAATCATCCCCGATAACCATGAATTCGAGAAACCCAAGAATGGTAGTACAAACGGAGAATACAAAACGAAAGAAATTCACTTCCCCCATTTCACAATGAGAATGATAACCGCCAGGAGCATGTCTTAGATCAGACCTAAAACCCTAGATCCAACCATCTGAAGACGGTTTACAAATAACCCACAAGTAAAAAGACTACAACGTGGATGAAGAAACAGAAAGTGAAGCATGAATCAAGAGGTGGAAGAGAGAAAGAGAGGATTAGAGCATACACTTTGGAAATCGCGAGGAGCGACGCCGGGAAGGTAGAAGGAGTGGACGGAGGAGATGAGAAGGAGAGCGAGGAAGACGGAGGTGCTCGTGCGGACGGAGATCGCAGCCATGATCTTCTGGGTTGTAGGGTGAATGGATGAACGAGACAGTCAGTCACGAAGCATAAAGAAGGAGCAAGTCATGTGTTGCTTATAAAACACGAACACTAAAATTACAAAAATTTTATCAAGTTCAGGCCCCAAAGAATATATATATATATATATATATATATAATAAATCACAAATAGTTATTTTGGAAATTATATGACATAATTATACATTTTGCGTTGCAGAGTTTCACTAATATTATCTATAATTATTTATTTGATATTCTAATGTGTTCATCTCTATTAATTTCATTTTATGTTTTTCTCTCATTTTTTATGCATATGTAATTTTTACATATCAATTTAATTTCAATTTTATCTATATATGATTTTTTATGTTGTTAAAATATAGAATACATTTAAATGTTCATTTGTTCAAATTTAAATTTGTAACACCAACCAATTAATTAGAAAACATGCTAATGATTTTGAAAAAAAAATCATTAGGAAAAAATAAGGGCTTAACTCTTCTTTTATTTTAAAAAAAGTTTAAACACATGAAAATACTAATGATGTTACACTGTTACAGTGTAAAACCTTACTAGCAGACTACAAAACAACTGCATCAAGTATTAACCTCGAAAATTATTGGAATTTTTTTTTTTCATTTACTTTTTAATTTTATTATTATTTTTTGTGTGAAATTTGGTATCCCAAATCTTTAACCCAAACTAATCTGGTTGGTAATTGAGGATACCCCTTTGCAAATCATACTTTGTACCAAGAATTTAATCACTGCTGATTTTTTTTTTCCCATTTATTTAGATGCTGCGTCATACTTGATCATGGGGACAAGTTCTTAATTTTCCTTGTCAAATTTGGGTATACATGAGTTCTCAGCATTAGGCGCAAGCCCATCAGGGCAGATTAAGACCATGTATGTTTGCATAATAAATTAACAAAATGGCATAATGAACTGCATTTTTCCAACCAATGACATCCGCTTCTTCTTCACGATCTTTTCCCCCAAAAAAGGGCTTTTAAACCAAGATTCAGAATTACCAAATGAGAGTTACAGTTTCACTGGAGAATATAAGCCAGACGACGACTGAGTATTGAACGTTAAAGTCCACATTTACAGAGTCTTACTCTTTCTTACTTGTAAATGGGAACTCGTGTGTTCTGTAATTCATATTTAATTTCAGATGAACATTTAAGAAATAATAACGTAACACTAACGAGCATTTGCATCAATTAAGAGTAGGACTTGTGTCGCACTGCTAACAGCTTATAAACCATACGTTCCCCATAAACCTCAGTTACCAATTCCTTTCAGATCAAGCTTGCCCGACACTTTTCCTATCGATTTCTATCTCGCACTAAAACATCGAGAGAGAGAGAGAGAGAGAGAGAGAGAGAGAGAGAGACTTTTACAATAATTTAAATAAACAAACCAGATAGCCTCCACGGTCACAGCCACAATTTGCCCATAAGTGGGGGACGGACAGGGGATAAATATGAGTAGAGGAACAAATACAGAAACATTCATGACCGATGAACATTATTCCAAACAAAATCCAAACCCGCATCATCATTTGAGGAGAGTTTTCACTATTGATTTGACATTGAGTTTCTTGAGGTCGGTGTAGGACTGTCCGCAGCCAACAAACATCACTGGAGCTCCTGATATGTAAACCATTGAAAGTGCAGCTCCCACCTGCCAAATGGATCCAAATAACATTTACCATCATCATCAACATCAATATACCCGGAAAAACCCTTCATTCATCCGCTTGCAGTTTCAAGAGTCAATACCTTGTCATCAATGGTGTCAAACTTAGTGAGCAAAATCCCATCAATTAATCTGGGATTAGCAGCTGTTGAGAGGTCAGCTAATTTCTGCAGCAAAATAGCTCCGGTTCCATAACTTTAATATAGGAAAAACAAGCACAATGAGAATGAAGTTGGACAACATGAAAGTACACAGACTTAACCTGATTGAACTTTGAAAGCTGATCAACTGCGTCATTTCCAACCAAAGCTTCTCCAACAAATAAGACCAAGTCTGGATTGTTCAAGTATATAAGCTTTGACAATGCTCTCATCAGTGGTTCGTTATCCTGAAAACCAATAATGACATAGCAGCTTTATGATAAAACATATTCCAAATGGAAAGCCAGAGTTGTTCAAAGGTCAAACAATCCCATACATAAATGATCCTCCACATTGCAGGAATTAATATAACTGAAGCAGATAAATTGAGTCTTGAGACCATGCAAAATGGTAACAAGTTAACTTGCATTTGTACACATATAACTTAATATGCAATAATGCAATATAATTCATGGAGCTCAACTAGAACAGTGTACCTGCATGCGACCAGCAGTATCAACAAGAACCACATCTGAGCCATTGCGAGAAGCTTCCTGAATCGCTTCTTTAGCCACAATGGCAGGATCTTTCTCATAGCCCTTCTCAAATATAGGGATCTAAAAAGTGGAAACAATCAGGGTATGCTTTCTGTAACTTCATGTGACATGGTCTATTAATACATGTGCAGCAGAATTCTACTAATCTTTAAGGAGTTTAATCAATATAAACCTGAAGTCTACGTGCATGAGTCCGCAGCTGCTCAACAGCACCAGATCGAAATGTGTCACAAGCAGCCATCACAACACTAATGTTATGCTGCAGAAGCCAGTAAGCAACCTGCACAACGATACAGAAAATAGACCATTTCAATCTAGTCAGAAACCATATCCCACATAAGAAAAATAAAAAAGAAATAAAAACACATCAAGTCTTCACCTTGGCTAGATTAGTGGATTTTCCTACTCCATTAACACCAACAAATACAACAACATATGGTTTCCTTTGCTCCTTGGCAGCATGCACATCCCTTAGTATGTCAATAGAGCACTTAGGAGTCAAAATTCGAACAAGTGCTTCTTCCATTGCAGCCTACATTGAATTTTTAGAAATATGCTATCAGTATGCTGACCTAAGGAAAAACAAGAGAAACAACAAAAAGGCATGCACAAATAAAAGGAGGCCTTTAGTGCAGATAGAAAAAAAAACAAAAAAAAAAAGACCGAAACAAACATGCACTGTTGAAGATATCCTTGTAAAGGAAGCTAGCTTTTTGCCTTCAAGACTTGCTGCCACTGATTCACATAGTTTCTCAGCTATCTCCTCAGCCTACGAGGGCATATCCACATATTGCAAGCAATATTAGCTGAGTGGCAAAATTCAAAGGAATGGATAAATAACAAGTTATGTAAACAAGAAAAAGAATTAAAATTGATTAATATGAACACATACCACATTCTTGGTCATGAGCCTATCCTTCAGAGCTTTCAAAGCTGGTTCCAGGTCTGACTTCTCCAAGTTAGCCTTTCCCGCAATACTGAGCACAAAAATGTGCATGAATAGTAATATTAATCACGTCAGTATGTCTTAAAACAGAAGTATAGAAAAATATAAAATCAAATAGAAAAATTTATAAACTGATCTATGTGCATAGTTATTTGCATATAAACCACCAGGAAATTTTCATCTGAATAAATTGGCCCCTTGATTATTAAAAAAAAAAAGTAGATTATAGGCCCATGTTTTGCGTGAAATTTGAGACGAGCTGCATTGTTTATGACTTATGAATATTGTAACTCACTGCAGAATTTATATTATAAATAGATAGATATAGATGACACACAAATAATCATGCTAGTATGAGCAATTTCAAGTCTGAGGATAATTATCACTCCAACTCATCTCTCATTTCTTTCTCATATCTGCTCCAACTAAACCCATTTTGTAAGTTTCATGTGAAATCTACAAACATCTAATAACATTACAATTTGCACAAGCATAACAAAATACCAATATTTCAATTTTAGTGATTTGAAGCATAAGAACATCAATTCCATACTATAAATATGAATATAAAATATAAAAATCACTAACAATGCAATTCATTCCTTAAATCCTATGCAATACATGAGGGCCACCTAGTTTATGACAAATTTGATGATATGGGAGTAAAGCAATATAAATTAAACATCAAGGGCATTCAAACAACTTGACAGAAATCGAATAACCCAAAAGGCCAGCAATTTTACCTCTGGAACATGGATGAAAACCAACCCTTCTTTTTAGCATCAGGTTTGCTGTTCATCTCCACGTCACCATCTTCTTCCTCACTTTCACTACTAAGAATCTCTTCTTTGTCCATCATACTTTCACCTTGATCAGCAGCCACAACATCTATGTTACTTTCCCCATTCTCACCCACATGATCAGTGAAGTCCAGTTTTGTTTCAGGAGGTGATTCGTCCCACACTCTATTTTTCTTCGTCATTTTTTTCTTTGGCTCTACCTTTGAGGCTTTGGTAACAGTATCTGTCTTCTTTCCTCCTTTCACCCTAAGCTTCTGAAGCCTATTTACATCAAAAGCTCCCAGATTAGAGCATGCATTCTCCTTACCATTAGTACTGCTATCCAAGTTAGATTCTTTACTAGCAACAATATGGTCATTGGAGTTCTCATTCTCCATCTTATGGCCTTTGTTATTATCACCATCTCCATTATCACTTTTCAAAGCACCTTCACTCTTTTTGTTATTTCCTCCTTCAGGCCCATTCTTCCGTCCCTGACCTTGCTTCTTGCTGTTAAGTAAAGCCCTGCCAATGTGATTTGATTTCTTCAAATCCTCAGCCCGAGCCTCAGCTTCCATTTTTAACTGTCTGAAAGTTTCATCAAAATCATGATACTCTGTCCTTTTTGAATCATAAATCCCTGAAAACCCATGCTTCACCATAGCTAGAAGATCTTCCACATACAACAGATGAAGGATCCTTTGATAAACAGCCACAAACACGAGCCCAAGCTCATTATGGAAGGTCCATTTGAGGGTATAAGCTGCACCTGGAGCATCATAATTATATGATGCAGCACCAGATCGTTCCTCCAAAAGACAAGATCGGATCAAGGTATCAATTGGTGATCCTTTAAGAGCATTCCCAAGCTCTTTATAAGTCCAGAGGATCAATCCTCCTCTTGTAAATATGAGTAACTGCTCTAACATCTTCAATTACCTTCAAATACCTTGAAAAAAATTCCAGAAATTCACACATTACAAAACCCTAGAAACTACAAAAACCATAACATGAATTTCATTGAAACAAAACAAGAATACTCAAACAAAAATCAACATTTTAAAACTCAGCCCCCCACCCAAAAAATCCCGCACTAATTCTTTGATCTGGCCAAATCACAAGACAGAATTAGATTCAATCACAAAACAACAAGAAGCCTTATCCCACTTGATAGAGTCAACTACATAAATTACATGATGCCATTGTGTTCTATCAAAGAATTAGGAAGGGATTCAATCACAGAAAAGTAACACACACACATATTGCAAGGATGGGTTGGTTAGGAAGGGAAATAAGATAGAAGAATTTGATTTTGAGACGCATTGTTTTGTACAGATAACAAGGAAGATGCACATAATCAAAAAGGAAAGGTGCCCACTATTTCTTGGAGCCAAAAAGAAACCCCAGAAGGAAAATAAAATGGAAATATAAAATCTAATTGCCCGAAACAAAAGACTCCTTGGAGGAATTAGAATGGAATGAGAACGAGAATAGGAAAAGTAATGGAAATGAATTTCAAAAGCACACTTGGTATGCAAGAAAAAAATAAAGACTATGATAGACCCCTAAAAAAAAAAATAAAGTTAAGTAATTGTTAAAAATCTAAATCTCTCCCCCCCCCCCTTCTCTCTCGTGCATCCTCCTCCTTCTTCAACCTCCATGAACACCACCCATGTCAACTTCAACTGCTGCTACCACTGTAACCTCCAGCTATCTCTCCCCCTCCCTCCCTCCCTTCTTCTTATCCCTTCTTCCTTCGTCCGATCCAACTATCGACTTGTACCAAAACTAATAGGTAACCAACTTTCGTGATACAAATTTATATTTATATAAAGCAAAATGAGATAACAATACCATTTTCGGTATTCAATTCTATCAAAAACCCAACAATTCTATCATACCAAAGCTGGATTATGCTCAAATTATCTTGACTACAGTTCGGTAGCTCGCCAATTTCTATACATATATATAGCAATGGAACTTAATAGAGCCTAACCAAATTGGATAATGTCAATTTCAAACAGATGATAATCCACATAATCATAAACATGATAAAAGCCCTAAATCGATCAAATGTATAAAACAAACCCTTGCTATGCATCAAATCATATTCATAATAAAACATCATATGGCTATATTCACGATAAAACAGAAAACTCAATAATCAAAGGACTGAAACAAAAAGATCAGAGAATACAAGAAAAATATGAAGTCCAGGTCTCATGAGTTATGAAATAACAGGAAACAGAGTCAGGGTTTTATCATCGTCAATTTCACACACATTCTGTCGCTTAGCACACCAAACTAGAAAGATATGCCGTCCAGGTAGTTCTAGATGAAGATTACGGATGGATTAATGGGCTTGACTACAGATTAGTGGGCTAGACTAAAGTCCAGTTGATAACCACGCCGGAGTTCGAGAAACGCTCGTCCTCAGTCACGCCGTCGCAAAAACAGAATAAGATTCAATCACCAAAAAAGTAGGAGGACGGGTCGGTAAAGAAATGAAAGGAAAGAGACAATTTTGATGTCGAGATGGGTTGTTTGATACAGAGTAAGGAAGATCAATTGAGGTACCTGCGTTTTGTTGGAGTTAAGACAGAGACAAAGAAAACGGAAAAATAAAATCCAACTGAGGAAGAAGAAATATCAACTATTAAGGGAATGGTGTTTTTGGGAGCTAGCGCCGTTTGCCATCAACGCAAATCACCAATGGGAATGCTGGCTGAGCTGAATATCACTCCCTTGAATTTAAAATAAGATTATGCATCTCTATATTAATAAAATTAAATGGTAATTTATAAACTTATTTTTTAAAATAAAAATATAAATTTTTAAAAAATATTATTCATTTACTGTAATTTTAAATTTATAATTATTTTAATTATCTTCCCACTTTAAAGGATAATGTTAAAAAAATATTATTAATGAGATTTTATTCTGATCAAATTATATTATATTTTGGGATAATAAAATTTTGCTAATGTTATCTTATAATATGGAACAAAGGAGGTATAAAATATTTTTAATCTAATAAAAAATTAGTTAATTATCTTTAAAATTACTAACTCTTTACATGTTTATCTTTATTTAATTAATAAAATGTCTCAATTAAAAAATCTCATTAATTACCTCCCTCCCTTAACTAAGGGTATTTTTTTGAAAAAATCTCATTAATTATATTTTAAAAATTTCAAAATGCCCCTTTTTTTTAATATTTTACCCTAAAAAAGATGCTTTATATTTTTTAATGGGAGAGAAAATATACAATAGCTGGTTTGAGAAGTTATATATACATATATATATTTATTTTATTATTCTGAGAAGTTAAATTGAGTAGCTTTTGAAATAATCATACCATAGATGGAAAAGAATATCATAAAATTACAGATATACATAAAAATATTATAAAATTTTTAAATGCTAAATAATAAATTATTTTTTATAAATAAGGATCAATGAAAACATCAAAAAATTTAAAAGTTACTAACTAATCATCATTTTTATTATTATATTTATAACCAAATATAAAATAATTTTAAGTTTTTATAACATACCTAGAATATAAATAGTTTTTTTTATAAAATATATAAACTAAGTAAAATTTGTTCAAATTTTTTTTATCTTAAATAAACAAATGATGCATAAAGAGGGGAAGAAAAGCAGAAATGAAAGTCTGCTTGAAAAAAGAGGGGTTATTTTTTAGTCTAAGTCTCCGTTAAAAAATTTAAATATAAAAAAATCATAAGAATATAAAATCCAAATACCTCGACCCCGTTACAATCAAGTAGTTAACATCCTTGAATCACAGTTGAAAGAGTTCAATTGAGGGCATATAAATCCATCACAACACATATTGGTAGTTGATGCATCAGTGAACTATCATGTCTACCCATTGGCGCAGAGAGAGATGTGGGTGCTCGTGCAATATTTGATACGGCCACTGGAGCACTTGATTAGAGGATACCCTTCCCTTGCATGGTTGGCCAAAAAAATATCGCCTCGCACAGGGCAGATTAATATCATAATATATCAGCTTTGTGATGATTAACAAGATAGCAGAATAAACTGCATTATTCCAGCTAATAACAACCGCCTTTTCTTCACAAAAGGGGCAAAAAGGGAAAAAAGATTTAGACCAAGATTCAATACTATTACCGAATGAGATGTTCACAAATCATAATTTGCTAAGAGTACGGAAGCCAGAAACAATTTGAGGAATTGACGAGGTTCCCCACCCAAAAAAAAAAACCAATCCTTTGCAAAACGAACATGGTGTGACAGCCTCCAGTGAATTTTCCTAAAACTGCATTAGAGAATTTCCAGACATGTCATGGGTTGTTACATCCCATAATATGGGATCTGTACTTATCCAGCTCAGCCAACACCTCCTCTTCCGGTCTATAAATCAGATCAATCATCCTCCATATCTGCATCACAATATCAACTGCATTAATATATTTCAAAATATATCGTCCATTTGTAACGAAAATAAAAAAAGGAAGCAAAAAATTCAGCAATTCATATTGAGTTAGCATAAGAGTATAATAAATTCGACTAATTCAAGCTGACTTATAATGCAACCAATCACCACCAGGGGGAAAAAAATCGCCTACCTGAAGGGTACCACCACCACCAGTACTTCCACAATCATCAGAGACACTAACAATTGTCCATGGGTCAGAAGCATTCCAGTTGAAGTCCACAACCTTGTCCCTGAACGAATAAGTAAATATTAACTGAGTGCGCATTTGATTTATTAGCCAGCGAAAGAATATTATAAAAGCCGAAGATACCATTGCTGGAAGCCTGCAATACTAGTCGTATATCAAAATATTACTAGTGGCTCAACAATTCAACATGTACAGAAAAGCATGTCAAATCATTTTTTTCATTTCTTTGATAATTCAGTTTTATATGTATGTGCATGCACGTGTATATGTGCGCGTTAATTTTTCTTGCCTATCAAGATTGAAACTAAAGTAGATTTTTGCTGCAATGTTCATCTCTCTGTCATTTATTTGGCCACACCTTAAGATATCACTATTCAATTATGCCAAAGTGGAAGTTAGCTAGGTGGGACTGAAAATATCGTATATTGTTATGACTTTTATCTCTTTCACAGACGCACATGTGAAATCTCTTCCGATCATTGGTAAACTAAAATGTCAAACTCAAACCTGTTACAACAAAGGAGTTCCAACCCAACTGGAATACTGGATAAGGAATAAAGAGAAAATTTGCAATTATATAGTCTTCTTAAATTACCCAAATAACATTTAGAATATACCAACGCATATATATTTCATACCTGTGTCCAGCATGTCGAAAGAATAAACCAGGAGGGGAGTTGGGTACTTTTGGACCACCAGCAGAATCTGGCTTTTTACCAACCTAGGCAAAAAAAGATCAGTGCTACATCAGAAAAAGAAGACTAAAAACATGATGGACAGCAACGCAGTGAAGGACAAAATGAAGCAACCCTATGAGTTCAAATTTGAAACATTCAGACCTTCTCATGATCCCATATGTTTACAATGCCATCTTCAGCAGCACTTCCAAATACAGACGACTTGTCAGGACACCACTGAAACAGATGAATAATTGTAGAGTAACAATTACAACCAAAATTCCCAAAACTGAAATGAATTTGAATAGACCAGGAAAAAAGGGGAAAAAAAATAAAAAAAATCAACATGCATTTGAAAGCAGCAAGTTAATTGAAATCAATAAGGCACTGTCAATAGTCACCTGCACACACAGGACAGCTGCATCATGTCCCTCAAATTTATAAACTAGAGACCCATCTCCACCACCGTTGCTAAATTTCCGACGATCAAACATATGAACTGTATTATCAGCCGAACTGAAGCCAAAGAACCAAAAATTAGACAGAGAATCCAATAGTCCTATGAAGTGCTTTGACATTTGAACAGGATAAGCAGTCTAACTACAAATTAAATCCATGAAGAACTAAGAGAGAATATAACTTTTAGTCCCTATACTTTTTAGTGTTTTTTGATATCAGTCCCTTTACTTTTATTTCATTGTTTCAAGTCCCTTAAGTTTCATCCCTCTGTAATATTAGTCCCTATATTTTTAAATGTAACCATAAGGACTAAACGGTGGGTAACTTGTGCATGAACTCTGTTATGTCTTATACTAATGACTTGTTAAAATTATGATGCGTTGTATAAAATGAGTAGAAGATGGGGAAAAAAGCGGGATATTAAATCAGAATCTTTAAGCATGCAATGAATGAAGTTTCAAAAGGAAGAAAACAAACAGCTAGGGTAACAGACAGAAAGATTAATAGTCACTTTACTTACACAATATCAAACTCATCACAATTTTACCAAAGTCACCAACAAAATTAAACAAAGTCATGTACATATCAATAAATTTAACTCTACCAGTGATGATAAGGACTAAAATTATAGACATATGAAACTTAACAGATTTGGAACAACAAAATAAAAGTATCAGGACTAATACCAAAATATGCTAAAGTATAGAGACCAATTGTTGCATTTTCCCAAGAATTAAAAAAGACAGCCCAAAAATAACATATAGGATCATAATTTTGAGTATGGAACTGTAAGATAAAACTATTCAATGGGAGGCAGGAATACCCAGTCAGAATAAAATTAATATCATGAGGATTCCAGTCAACACAA